GTGGAAATGGGAATTTCATTGAAGCAAATTAAGTTTTACAAAAAGTGGTCCGATACACAATACAACCATTTCTATCATGAGAGTAACTAGAGGAACAAAAAGACGGAATAGAATCAAAAGTGACAAAAGGGGCTTCCATGAAAGCTCCATGCTTGGCAAGTGTATCAGCCACACCATTTGCTTCACGATATGTGTGCTTGATCAGCACCTGTTCAAACTGTTGGGTCAACAATCTGCAAGATGCAATCAAAGTCCTATGATTTAAGCATTTCATAAAGCAATCTGATAGAGCATTGACTACAAAAGTAGAATTAGTTTCCACTTCAAGCAGTTTAATCTTTAATTTCGCAGCTAATTCCAAGCCGATTTTGATGCCCCAAAGCTCAACATCATTATTTGTTCCATATCCAAGATTCTGTGCAAAGTCCATGACCCAAGTACCCTCATGATTTCTAATTACTCCACCAGCACCAGTGCAGGTTTGGGTGAAGTTAGAAGATCCATCAGTGTTCAGCTTAAACCACCCCTCCCTTGGAGAAAGCCATCTGATAAGAAGGTAGGTGCAGGAAGTAATTCTCCTAAGATGGGGATTAGAGGAGCAGAATTCTGCAGTAAGGCTTATACTTTTTGAGGCAATTTCCTCCAAGCTAGAGTAGTTGTGGAAACAAAGATTGTTTCTATCACGCCATAGGTTCCAAACAAGGTAACAAAAATAAGTTGCCCAAGGGATTCTAGGATGGGTGACCCAAAGTTTAGAGGTGCAGTTAGCTTTAAGCCAACTAAGGAGGTTAAGTTGGAAGCTACCATAGAGAGCAGATGGGATGGATATGGATTTCCAGAAATTAATGGTAACAGGACAGTCTCTAATAAGGTGAAGGGCTGTTTCTAGGGCAGAGTTATAACGAGGGCATGCAGTAGGGACTTGTATGCCACGAGAGGCTAAAAGAGATCTAGAAGGGATTCTGTCATGAGCAAGCAACCAAATGAAGAAACTAATTTTGGGAATAATGAGACATTTCCAAATCCATTTCCAAGAGACTCCCCTATTTTGTGACTCAAAATTACAGACCATATGGTAAGCAGAGGAGAGTGTGAATGATCCATGAAGGGTAAATTTCCAAGAGACACAATCTTCTTCCAGGGGATTGGCAAGTGCGAGGTGGGAAAGGACAGTGTATTCAAGTGAGGGTGGGAGGTGACAGTGGAGCTCTCCAAAAGTAGAGAGGAAGGCAATGGTATCAACAACTGTGAAGGAGGAATGCTCAACAGAGAAAGGACCATGAATGTTTTTATCAATGGGGCCGAAGGGGAGCCAATGATCTTGAAGGAAATTGACTTGAGTGCCTTTGTTGATGTTCCATGAAATTCCTTCAAGGAAGGACGGGTAATTTTTGGTCATTGCTTTCCAAATGTGGGAAGAGGGATTGGTAGATCTTTGGAAGGAGTATTTAGCTTGGAGTAGTTTAACCCAAGGAGAGTGTGGCAAGGTGAAGAATCGCCAGATAAGCTTAAGAATAGAAGCTTGGTTAAGCTTATTACACTTCCTAATACCTAATCCACCCTGTTCTTTAGGTAAGCAAACAGTATCCCAGCCCATGAGATGTAGTTTGCGTTTATCAGGTTCATCAAGCCAGAGAAAGTCACGAATGAGTTTATCAAGAGAAGTGCAGATACTGACAGGAAGTGAGGTACACTGCATAACATGCATAGGAAGAGCACAAAGGGTTGATTTAATTAAAAGCCAACTGATGCATTTCCTCGAACGGATCGAAACCCACCCTTTGCAAAATATGTTAAAAAAAAAATTAATACATAAAATTCATGAGCCGAGCCCATGAGAAATAGATTGGATTATATCTTCGAATTGAGTCCACTATTGCCATGTCTAAAATCAAACAATACTGGACTTCAAGAAGGAGCAGATAACGACACGTGTTGCCACCGTTTCTGATTTTGACCCGGCGGAGCCACGGGAACGAGAAAATTTTCGTTTTTTATGACCACCACAAAATTTTTTTAAAATATATTATTAAATAATTAAAAATTCCCAAAAAATGAAAAAAGAAAAAGAATAAACAAATTTCTCCATTTCATTTGCATTTGAGTTTCATTTCCCACTCCCTCTCTATTTTTCGCTCTTTTTTTTCTTCTCAAAATACAAAATCTCAATTTTTTCTTCGAAATAATCTTTCCATTTTCGGGAGAGAAACAAAGAGTGATGATAGATAGATCGAAATCGAATTCGAAGCCAAAAGCTCAATCCGATCTGCACAAAGTTGCGTTCCACAGATCGGAGTAGACCGATCGATCGGTCGGTTATTGCTGTTTGAGCGGCTGTGGGATCGGTGGTGACGGTGGGATAAGGTGATCGGACGGTGGAGAAAAGAGGATGCCGTCGCAGGGGGATCTGGACCGTCAGATCGAGCATCTGATGGATTGTAAGCCGCTGCCGGAGGCTGAGGTGAAGACTTTGTGCGATCAGGCTCGAGCGATACTGGTGGAAGAGTGGAACGTGCAGCCGGTGAAGTGTCCGGTGACGGTGTGTGGAGATATCCACGGACAGTTCTATGATTTGGTCGAGCTGTTTAAGATAGGAGGCAATGCGCCTGATACCAATTACCTCTTCATGGGCGATTATGTAGGTGAGTTATTTGTCTGGTTTTGCTAATTGCCAATTTTAGATTTTGAATCTTTGAGAGAATTTGAGATTTGATGTGTTAATTTGGAGTTTGTGTTTTTATTTTTATTTTATTTTAATATTTAAGCTTAAAATATATGAAATAATAATCTGATTTCTTATTTGGTCGACAAATTTTGGGATTATGATTATGATATTTATGGGTTGTTTATCTGCTGATGCAAATATAAGCTTGCTGTATTGTTATTCTTAAAATGTTAAAGATATGGATGTTAAAGTGTTTTGTAAATCTAAGTGAGTTTGTTTTTATTAATCCAATAATGTTATGTTAATTTGCAGAAATTTTGTTGCCATTCATTGCGGACTATGTTTATGCCTTTGCTAGCATTTTCTAATTAACTTGTTCACTTTTATGCAGATCGTGGGTACTACTCGGTGGAGACTGTTACACTCTTAGTGGCACTGAAAGTTCGTTATAGAGATAGAGTTACTATTCTAAGAGGAAATCATGAAAGCCGGCAGATAACTCAAGTGTAAGATCTTCTTTGGCAACCATTATGTTTGTATATATGTTAGGCATCACATAAATATACACTGATTTAAATGCAAGGGGTTTTGATTATTCCCCCTTGTAAATGCCCCTTGATGTCTCTACCATCTTTTGAGGATTTGGTTGATTGACTTATTTGGCCTTATGCCTTAGGAAGAGTAATATAATGTTGGCTACCAAATGGATTTGTGGTGAATGGTGATGCATTCTTTAAGATGAATTCTTCAATACCGTTCCATTTGATTGTAATTGTTACATCTGCTATAGTCTAAATGGTGGCAAGGATTTTAATTGCTGTGTGAGATTGGATTGTTGAAATAGAAACAGCTATATGACCTCAGTGATTGGAGTTTATGAAAAGCATACATTGCAAGCAAGCGTGAAGTAGAATATTTGTTTGCTTTATTGTGGTTTCATTTAAAATGGTGACATTTTCCTCCTCTTTTTCAGGTATGGTTTTTATGATGAATGCTTGAGAAAATATGGAAATGCAAATGTCTGGAAGTATTTCACCGACCTTTTTGATTACTTACCCCTTACAGCCCTTATTGAGAGTCAGGTTTGAGTTATAGTTGCAAAAGACTCTTAACTTGATTTATTTTCATGACAGCTTCTGACTGCCATAGGTTTCAAATCATAGGTATTCTGTTTGCATGGAGGACTTTCACCATCTTTGGACACATTAGATAATATTCGAGCCTTGGACCGCATACAGGAGGTATAAGCAATTCTTATCCATTATTCATATATTGAATATTAAGTAGATTATGAAGATGTTATTGCTACATTTTCATGGAGGGGTTTTAAGTAAAAGTGTTTACGTCAGTGAGTTTTGGGCTTTGATTTTGCATTTTGTATGGCTTTTTCTTTTTTATTTAATTATTATGTTGCATGTTATTTCACTATTCTGCCTTATTGTGCATGTATAGGTTCCACATGAAGGACCAATGTGTGATCTCTTGTGGTCTGATCCTGATGATCGTTGCGGATGGGGAATATCCCCTCGTGGTGCTGGATATACATTTGGACAGGATATTGCTTCTCAATTCAACCACACCAATGGGCTCACTCTGATTTCAAGAGCCCACCAGCTTGTCATGGAAGGATATAATTGGTGTCAGGTGTAAAATCTGAAACAGAAAGATTTGCTTGCTTACTTAAGTTGTTTTAACTTCTCATTTATTTGTCCAATATTTATTGCATAATGACATTTTCTCTTCTTTTGCAGGAGAAGAATGTTGTGACTGTTTTCAGTGCTCCAAATTATTGTTACCGTTGTGGTAACATGGCTGCCATTTTAGAGATCGGAGAGAATATGGAACAGAATTTTCTTCAGTTTGATCCAGCACCCCGGCAAGTTGAGCCTGACACCACTCGCAAAACTCCTGATTATTTTTTATGATCGCCGTTCTTTTCTTTTTTCGGTTAGTTGTTTGTTAGTCTCTGTTTGATGCTATATCTCCGTGGATGTGTCTTGAAAAGGAGAAAGCTTTTTGTTGTTTAAGTTGAGGTTCATCGACAACATGAATTCTTCATTTGGAGTTTGTCCTGCTGCTGCTTTGTCAATTGCTCAAGGAACTCGTAGCAGTACTGACAAAGGCCTCAATCGCCTCTTGTCTTGTATATTTTTCAAAAGAAGCGGCAATAACGTGTTATATCTTCTGTAATTCTACAATTTCAAGATGGTAGATTTTTGGAATAGGTTATTGTTGGACATTTTTGTCCGACTCCCCTGGTTGGAAGCTAATTTGAGTTGAAATTGGCATAAAGCAAGTAGTGCTTGAAAGTTGAAACAACTCCAGATTTCCAAGAAAGCGAATGAGGTGTCTACAGAAAATTCTTTCTATTTATCTTGTCCAAAATTTTAATCGTGTACTGCAAGTTTCTCAGGAGTTGGCCATACTTGGAAATGGCTAGTCCTTCCAGGAATCACTACAATAAGAACTATAAACCATCTCTCAAATGCCATATTGATTGTCATTTTCCTGAAATGAGTGAAGGTAATTTGATATGAGTTTTGTTTTTTGTAATTTAAATTGTATTAAACTGCAAGACAAAAACAATTTAATGGGGGGAAAGAGCCTCTAATATCAAGGGTATTATTCTAATTTAATGGTTAAAGTTATACAATCTAAAATAGTTAAAATTATATGATTTGAATTAGTTTAAATTGCATGGTTTTTGTTTTTTTTTTTTTTTTATAAGAAGTGTAGTTGTATTAATAATTGAAAAAAAAATTACAATGTAGACTATACCTTATCCTATAGGTTGAATAGGAAAAGAAAAAGTTAGGAAAGATTTCTAACGCTAACATATAAAGTTAAGTGTTCCATACAAATAGAGACATTTAGGAACTGAGAATCTCTAAATATTAGTATATGTTATAGGGGTATCAATAAAGTTATGTAATAACATAGAAAGAGTGCATTGGAGCTTGCTGACGCTACTAGCAATCATATCTATTGTACCACCCAAACCTAGCATAGGAGATTAGAGGACTTGGTGATATAGTGTTTCCCAATACTACAATATTCTGTCCATCCATAATAGATAAGGTTCCTATGAGTTTACTAGAGAAATTTGAGCATAAAATTTCTTCTTAGGAAGACTCAAATGGCATGATATAAATTACACTTTTTGAATGCTTCAAGATATTGAACAAAAGAAAGCAATAAGGAAAGAAGCTTCTGCTAAAGGTGTTGTTGAAGGTGCTGTTAAAGGTGCTTTAATTGCAAATGAAAGAGGAATGAGTTAGTTTAAAGCAGCTGATTAAGAGAAGCAATTTTTTGATGGAAGTGGAAAGGAGAAGAGAGATTTTCAAAAGGACCAACAAAGTAGCAATTATAGAGGCAAGAAAAAGCCTTATCCTCCATGTCCTCACTGTGGAAAAATCACTCATATAGCAACTTATTGCTAGTTTAGGCCTGGTATCAAATGCGGATCATATAAGCAATTTGGCCACGTTGAAAAGGTCTACAAAGTTAAGGCAAATCAATACCAAAAAGCTCAAGTTGTTGAGAATGTGGATCAGGAGGTAAAAGAGTTGTTTGTGTTTGCTATGGTTGAGAGGTGTTCATCTGCGTTTTTAGTTTCAAATTCTTGGCTCATCGATAGCGGATGCACCCATCATATGACCTCAAATTTGGCCATTTTCAAGATACTTGACAAATTTTACTTCTCAAAGATCAAACTTGGAAATGGAAAACTTGTTAAGGTGAAAGGAAAAGGGACAATTGCTGTTAATACACCAATTGGTACCAGGTACATTTGTGACATTTTATATGTGTTTTGCTTGAGCCAAAATTTGATTGGTGTTGGTCAATTATTAGAGAATGTTTATTCAGTGCATTTTCATGATGAATGTGTTGATGTGGTTGATAAACTTGGCGTAAAAGTATTTAATGCTGGTAAGAATCATAGAAGTTTTTCTGTTGATTGGAACCAAATTGAAATTAAAGCATGCAAAACTGTTGTGGACGAATTTGAGGAATGGCATAAGAGGTTTGCTCATCATAGTTATGCTTCATTGAAGTTGCTACAAAACAAAAGTATCATTGTGGATATGCTCATGATTCATGAGTTTGATAGTGTACGTGGTGTTTGTCAAAAGGGAAATTTTAGTAAGCTTTCTTTTGTAGTGAACAAAGGCTTGGAGAGCTAAAAAAAGCTCCATTTTGTTCACTCTATTTTTTGTGGTCCAGTGCAGATCTCATCAATAAATGATAGCAAACTTTCCTTTATTGTTTATTGATGACTTTAGTGGACATATGTGCTGAGTTTATTTCAAAGAGCAAGTCTTTGAAGTTTTTGCTGTGTTTTTAGAGTTATAAGGCTTGTTGGGAAGGAAAAAGAGGTGCAGATAGTATCGCAGCTTAGAAGATTAGATGGCAAAGTTTTTCACCAAAACTTTGTAGAAGAAAAGGTTTGAAGAACTTTGAGACCAGCTTGGCATTTGCAGCTTTGTTGCCAAGGAGGAGGTTGTTGGAACTGTTTCAAATAAGCATGCCACCAAAGCTACTGTGTTGCTGTCCATTTGAGTCAATTTATCTCTTATTTGAATTTAATTTTGTCTGTTATAGTTTGTAGTTTGTTTAGAGAATTATGTTTTTTTTTAGTAATTGTTGAGGTAATTTTATAATTACTATTATCTATATATATTTTAAAGTTTAAAAATACAGTGTGTTGTTTCTGCATGCAATCTCTCCTTTTTTACTTTCATATCCTTCATTTTTTTTATCAACAAAGTTAAAATATATAAATACGGAATGCGAGTAGTACCCCAAATCCGTTTACAATTTGGAGTAGTTATGCAAGGGATCTACGCTGTATGTCAAGAATTGGGCAATAAGTCTTCAAATTCTTATTCATTCTAGGAGAAGAAATGTTGAGATGGTGGGGAAAAAACAGAAGATAAAGAGGGGGGAGAAGAAACCGCCATGAATCTTAAGACGCCATTGCTTGGCTCCCATTTTTCTCCTCCTCTGCTGTTGCTAAATTTTCACTTTCGATATTCACCTCTGTCTTTACTGAAAGGTCCATCACTTTCATTTTAATTATGGACGTTCCTCAATGTTTGTCATTTTTGTGGCAATATAAGATCTTAAACAAAGTTATAAATGAATATGTGTATATGTTTGTGTGTGTGTGTGTGTTTTTTTTAAAGTGCAGGCCCAATTTACTCGGGTACATATAAAGGCCCGACTGGTTTGGGTCCAAAAAATGAAAATAGAAATGCTTTTTGCAGTCCGCCTGCAATTAAAAACATCAATATGAGGCTAAAGAAACAAAGAGTTTCATTAGGGATGCATGAAAAATTTATTAATGATATATATATTTTTATCTTTTCTCATCTTAAATTGGTGTTTTTAAGTGTAGTTTGTTTTGAAAAAAAAATTTTTTCTCAAATGCCAAGTGAGTTACTTCTTTTAGAATTTAGATTATATTAGGTTACAAAATAAGAATTATTAGATGAAAAAAAACTATTAATATTAGGAATCAACTCTTATCAAATGATATAAGTTATACAATCAATACAATTTAGCCTACATAACACTAACCTCCAATTTGGTTTGAGGGAAATGAAAGGAAGTGGAGGCCCTTCACTCCTCTTCTTTTCTCTTGTTAGATTAATAATATATTTTACACCTCTTTTCTTATCTTATTAAACTAATAATATATTTGGCTTAAAAAAAAAAAAAAGAATGGGAGGAGAGAGGAGGGGTAAGTCATTGAATCAAATAATTTATAACGTTTTTAAATATTACAATTTGATTAATTAAAAAATTTATTTTTTTCTTTTATTTCTTTTGAATTAAATATATTATAAAATACTAAAAACAAAAATTTAAAGTAAGGAAAACCCTTCTCGTCCTCACCTTCTCATTTCTTATTATTCAAATAAGGATATATTCGCCTCCACTTCTCTCCTCTTAAACCAATTAAGTAATAAAGATGAAGCTCGCATTTCAACACTTTCAAAGCATCTTCACCGTCCGGATGAGGATAACCAGATGTTTTCCGAGTGCAGGCCCAGCAGAAGCAATAATTGAATGCATGATGGAGCATATTTTGTCAATTTATAAAGTTAGAGGGTTTCTCAATTGATAAGAGAATATTTTAGATTTTATCAACAATCCCCCATGTCAAATTATTATTAGTTCGACGTCAATTTTTTCTGTATTTTTCAAATAATTAATTATCAAAAAGTTTAATAATTAAACACTAAACATTCTCTTTATCATGTGAAAATTATAGAAAAACCCAAAGTTAAAAACATTCAATATTGATTTGAAACCCTATATTGAATGCTTTCATGGATATAATGAGACCCTGAGGGAGACTCAGACATACCAATTGGATTCGACTTTCGAATCAATGCGTCCGGAGTGGAGAGGTGGGGTCTGGAGCATGTGGACCTGTGGTGGTGCAGCCCAAGGTTGTGAATGTGACCTCTGCTCTGAACCCCACATGCAGGGTCGGATTCGATCATGGTCCCATCACGGAAAGAGAGTATCATCCTGATGAGACCATACGTGCCACCTATCTGGAACTAGAATTAAAATCATCACGGGAGTGCCATGCTGAGTTGACCCTATAGATTCATCATGGGATTCATTGCAAACCACGAAATGAAGAACCAAGTAAAGTCTGCATCTGGGTAATGCATCATCAGTTGTGATCTGTCAACGACTTAAATTACCCAGTGTACTTGGATGGAAATAAAAAACTTTGAGTTTGAGTAAGTGGATATAAGATGTGACAAAGGACGAACTTAGAAAACATCTATTTATTTATTTATTTATTTTTCTTGATTGATTGTATAATAATAAGTAATTATTTTTCATTTTTTATCACATTTCATTAACATATCATGCATTTCCAACTCAGGATCTCTTATTTTCAATAAAAAAATTTGATAACTGAATTACTAAAATTGTTAATTAAAAATTATCTAGTTAAACAAGTAAAAATATAGATACGTTTATAATATATGAAAAAAATACCATATAATTCAGATTATATTAGACTATATAATTGAATCGAAAGCAAATTCTTAATATTGGAATCCTTCTCCAACTAATAACCTATTATTTTAAAGTCCAGACTCTAACATAAAAGGCTCATGGTGTATTCGCCGTAATTAGAAAAGAAGAATCATAAATAAAGCATTTTAAGTAGCAGCATTACAAACAACTACAGCGTTTTCGATTTTGAGAAAATAAGGAAATTTTTAACTGAATTAGAACCAGAGAGTACAGTGCATAATGCCCCATGTAATTTACAGAATTTTCCGACAACAATTGAGCATGAGAATGTGGAATTCTTATCAAGTGGGAATTGTTGAACATGCCTTATAGAACATGGCATACAGGGATGTCTTACAGCAGATATTCTCAAAGACAATAATGAATTTACGCGTGCTTGCATTGTTATCGCATCACGTCCAACACTACTCCTTGGGATCAGGATCTTGTTTGCTGAAGATCAATGGGAATTCATCATAACGTTCAGAGAAACCATGTTTCTCAGCCATGCTCTTCAGCGACTCGTAGACCTGGTACATGGAAGGTCTATCCTTGGGTCTGGAAACCACACAAGTGCAGGCAACTCTCATAAACTGCATAATTTCATCATCATGACCTTTCCAACATAGAGCTTTATCAATAGCATCCTTGCTTCGACCAGTGCTAAACAACTGACTGACCCAATCCACCAAATTCCCTTTGAATCCTCCGTCTGCATTACTGACTTCAATCGGTTTTTGCCCTGTAACCAACTCTAGAAGCACAACCCCAAAACCATAAACATCCCCTTTCAATGATGCAACCATGGTGCTTGAGTACTCGGGAGCAACATAACCAAACTCTCCTAAATCACCATTGACAAATGAACTATCATTGGAATCACGGGATCCCATTAACCTTGCCAACCCAAAATCAGTTATCCGAGCATCAAAATCTTCATCAAGAAGTATAACATTTGAGCTAATATACTGGTGCATATATGGTGGCTGACATCCATGGTGAAGCCAAGCCAGCCCTCTAGCTGCACCAACACCAATCTTGAGCCTAGTTAGCCAATCCAAACCCTCAAACTTACCATTACCAATCCCACTCCTCCGCAACTGAGAGTAAAGTGTTCCATTAGGCATCTGCTTATACACCAAAAGCCTCTCTTCCTCCACAACACAAAACCCCAATAAAGGAACCAAATTTGGATGCCTAAGCTGTCCTAACCTATTCACCTCTGACCTAAACTGCTTTTCAGTAAGCTTACCGTCGCTCAACCTCTTAATAGCCAACGCTGATCCGTCCGGTAACATGGCCTTGTACGAGACCCCAGTCCTGGTTGAAATCAGAGCATTGCCGGAATCAAAATTGTTTGTTGCCGCCAGCAAATCGGCCAATTTGATCTTGTTGATTGGCTTCTGAAACAATGAGACTTGAACAAGCTTATGGGACTTCAACAAATCAATCCAACTGCTATCACCCTTACCACCAAAGCCATAACCTTTCTTCTTTCTACTAGCGGCCCTGAAGAAGCACCACCACCAAATGGCGAAACCGACGAGCAAAGACACGGCAGCCCCAATAGCTCCGGCGACGATAATGATCCCAAGACTCTTACCACTCAAGCTCCCACATTTTGATAAGGGTTTCCCACAAAGGTCACCGTTACCCTCAAAACTATCCTCCGCAAATCTCGACAGATCAGATGGGATCGAGCCTGACAACCCGTTATCCGCGACGGAGAACTCTTTCAACCTGTCCAGCCTGGCTACCTCGTAGGGGATCGTACCGGTCAGTTTGTTATCATTCAGAATGAGTTTGTTAATGAACTTGCAATCAACGATCTGCTGCGGAATGGAGCCGGAGAAACGGTTACTGGAGAGATCGAGCGTGACGAGATACGGCAGCCAGGAGCAGATATCGGAGGGGATGGCACCGGAGAGCGAGTTTCCAGAGAGATCCAGGGACTGTAGACTCCGGCAGTACTTAAGCGAGTCAGGAAGCTCACCGGTGAGCTGCATGGAGGTGAGCTGGAGGCTGATGATGCGATTCTCCTTCGCATTCCAGCAGGACACACCAGTGAGGTTACAGATTTGGCTTTCGGACCCTTTCTCGAAGTTCCAAGAGGAAAGATGGCGCTGGGGGTCTGAGAGGGAGTTCTTGAGGCCCTGAAGACAGGTAATGTCATCTTCAATGGCGAAAGCGAGGACGGAACAAGAAAACACGAAAAAACCCAGAACAAGAAGGATCTTCATGGAGGGTTCGGGTCGGGTATTCGGGTTATGGTTTTCAGAAACGTGGGAAAGGAGGAGGAGGAGGAGGAAGAAGAGGAGGAGGGGCCATTGAGTGTTGGGGGGCAGAGGAGAGGAGGAAGAGAAGTGCTTGCTTTCTGGTATGGAGCTTTTTTTACTACCAGTTGATTTTTATTTTTTATTTTTTCCGAAATGATATGGTTAAATATCATGTGCCACTCTAGACAGTAATGGGTTGTTATTTTATTATTGAAATTTTTTATTTAAAATTTAGGTGTAATATTATATATATTTATTTAATAATATATTATTTTTTTTACAATCTTAACATTTTTTAATATATTTATATGTATGTGTAGATTCAAAAAAGTAAAAAGTAATATATTTTAAAATTAAAATTATTAAAATATTTATTCATAATTATTATTTAAATAGAATCTATTTAAATGATAATTAACCTTACTTAAATAATAATTATAAGTAAATATTTTAATAATTTTAATGTTAAAATATCCTTATTTTTCATATGCTCATTCAGATTAATCCCTTCCTCGATTAACAGTCACGGTGTTCTTCTTGATCAAAAGGCGATACATAAAAAGATGACCATCTCATTGCTTATCGTATTAAATAATATATTATAATTATAAATTTATAATATTAAAAAATATAAAACATTTAAATAATAAATAAAAATATAAAAAATTAACTTTTTTATTGTTTCTCTCACGTAAACATCTAATACCAAACAACAATTGTTGTAAGTTTATGATTTTTTAAGAAAAACTATTTTATAGTATAAAAAAATAATTTTGAGATAATTTTTTTTTATTTTTTAATATAATTTATATATCATTTAAATAATTAATTTTTTTATTTATGTAAAATTTATAATATTAAATATATTTATTTATTTAATAATATATAAAAATTATATCAAAAAATAATATAAAACAATTATCTTATAACATCTCCCTTATAATATAAATTATATCATATCCTAAAAGAGAGTCCTCAGTCCTCTGTTATTGAACCATCCTTTCTAATTCAAAAATCTTAATTTTACAACAAGTTTAAACGATAAGATAAGAAATTTTTGTTTTTTTTTGTTTTTTTTTTTATTATTATATTAAATTATTTGTCCTGCACGTGATGGCGTGAACGACAGCGTTTAAAAAGACAAGATGGTCAGATCTTGGTCAAACTTTTGTAGATCTCGTAAAAGCAATTATTAGGGGGATGATTCATTGTGACGGTCAGTCTCCATCAATGGAAGAAAGAAGACAAAGCATTCTGATTTTCAAATATCCTGTTTTCTTTGGTCAAAATGTTTGGGCTGGGCCATTTTGCAGTTCTAAAGTCCAATTCTGTGTAAATATTTGGTTAGTTAAACAAAATGTCCGATCCATGAGTCCATATAACCGCTTAAGCATCATCTTTTTAGCAACTAAGTTTAGTTTGGTTTAATTGTTAAAAATAATTGGTAATTTTTTTTTTCTTTTTGAAAAGCAATAATTGATAATTGATAATACTCTCTCTAATGGTTTATCTTTAACTTAATTACCATTCTTAGTTTGATTAGAGGAAATAAGTAGCTATTCTTAACAACTTAACTAAAGCTTTGTTCAAAGTTATGAACCTTTAAATTGTTGCACTTAGGGCCCTTTGGAATTGAAACATTGTTCCTTAAATAAATATTTTTCCATTAACATCTAGCTTTCTGAGGCACAGTTATAGTCACTAACAATCACACCTCTCTTTCTCTTTCTATGATTTATAAGCACATTTTATTTGGCAAAAATAAGTTAATGGCTCTCCTTTTCTTTTCCCAAATTAATGGATTTTAATATAAAAAATTAGTATGATGATGCATTTTGGGTGAGTGGGATATCTTTGGGTCTGGAAAAGCCTACAACTACACTGGACCAAAAGTTGTTGGGAGCATTTAGAGAGAAGGGCACAGAGACAAAAGCAGAGGCACTATGGGGGAGAGAATCACAGCTAATGCTGCTGCATGCTTTTAAAATAATTGGACCATATCTTTATGCCAGAACTCTTAAACCAAAATTAAGCAATTGACTGGCAACAACAGAGACAGATCAGGAAATTCCCCATTGTAAGAATCAGTGCCCCCTTTACTTAAGAGTTGGATTTTCAAACAATCTATCTTCAACAAAAGTTTGACAATGAAAGCCACCTCCCTAGCTTATCTTGTAGCACTATATATATTTTTACGAAAAAAGAAGAGAATAACCAAAATCAATATTCAGTGACGCATATCAAGACAAACTATTGCTTCTATTAGAAGAGGGCATCTACTTTCTGAAATTACAGGACTTGATTGCATTGTTTTTTATGTTAAGGGATTCAATTACCTTTGAGTTCTAAATTTAAGAGATGTGATTGCTAAAAATAAATAGTTGAAGAAATTTTTTTTTTTTTTTGAATTTAACATTAGATGATAAATTGTACAATATAAGATAACTCTTGTTTTACCAAACTTTTTTCCACCCATTTCAAAATTTAAAATTTTATATTATTAACATAAAAATTTAAACTCTTAACCATTAAAATTTTCCTTATAAAAACCCAATTCCAAAATTAAAAATTAAAAAGTATTTGATTGCATTACTTTTCATCTTTTTAATCAAAATTCAAAAATAAAGTTCCCTTGTTCCAAAATTAAAAATGAGAAATTTGAACCCCATAAGGCGATTTAAATTCCCACTCCAATAATTATTTTCGGCCACCACTAGACTACCATGACAAACAGGGCAAGAAAAAACAAGTCTCTGTGCAAGAAATCTATGACAATGGTGGCAAACATTCTCAGACTGTCTTCCCTGTATTTGGCGACTATGACTTTGAGATCCCAACCGAAGCTGGATGGAGGTGGCAGGAATTTCATGCCTCGGCCTCCCGACACTGCCGTGGATGTTTCATCCATGACAGCGCCTATAAGGCAACCGTCGCCACGAGATGTGGAGCTGCATTCGGATGATCAGATGGATCCAGCAATCAACAATATTGATGAAAGAGCTTGGGGTTTTATAACAAGGATTTATGAGAAGAACAGAAGGCAATTGATGAACAGTGCCTAACCAAAACACTTCCCGTAATTATTACCTGATGCGCGCCCCCGAATAAGTTCTTCTCTCTCTTTTCTTTTCTTTCTCTCTCTTTTTTTTTTTTGAATTCTGGACTAAATTATGGAAAGCAATTTTCTTTCTGTCTCTTGATCCAACTCATCCAATTTAGACCTTTCATTTCTATTAATATAATTAAGCTACTTAGTCATTTGCCCAAATAAGCTTGTTATTATTGTTAGAAACTGAAAATGGGAAGAAATATTAGAAAAAAAGATTTATTATTTTCTTGATTAATTTTGTATATACAATTACTTATATATAGATATTTCCAAAGAGAATATTTTATGATATAAAATATTTACAAAAAAATATTTTAAAATATAAAATATTTATAATAAATATAAATAATGTAAGTACGATTTAAATAGTATAATTAGTTGATTGTCATTTATTATATTTATATCTTAACACTTGCTCAAATTCAAGATAGTTGTGATAAAACTAACTTGAGTTTGGAAAAAAAAAGTACAAAAGCCTCAAAGAAAATGAGTCTCATGAAAAAATTTGTTAGTTGATCACCAAAGCCAATGAAAACCTAATGAACAGTTTCATCTCTTAATCCAATTCACCCAATTTAGACCTTTTATTTCTATTAAAATAATTAACTATTTAGTCATTTGCCCAAATAAGCTTGTTATTATTGTTAGAAACTGAAAATGGGGAGAAATATTTGAAAAAAAGATTTATTACTTTCTTGATTAATTTTGTATATACAATTACTTATATATAGATATTTACAAAGAGAATATTCTATACAGATATTTATAAAGAGAATATTCTAAAGTATAGAATATTTACAAAAGAATATTTTAAAGTAAAAAATATTTATAATGAATTTGAATAATGTAAGTACAATCTAAATAATATAACTAGTTGATTGTCAATTATTTTGTTTATATCTTAACAACCCCTTAAACTCAAGGTAATTGTGATGAAACTAACTTGAGTTTGGAAAAAAAAGTGCAAAAGCATTGAAGAAAATGAGTCTCGTGAAAAGATTTGCTAATTGATCACCAAAGCTAATGAAAACCTAATGAACAGTTTATCTCTTAATCCAACTCACCCAATTTAGACTTTTTGTTTCTACTAAAATAATTAAGCTATTTAGTCATTTGCCCAAATAAGCTTGTTATTATTGTTAGAAACTGAAAATGGGGAGAAATATTTGAAAACATATTTATTACTTTCTTGATTAATTTTGTATATACAATTACTTATATATAGATATTTATAAAGAGAATATTCTATAATATAGAATATTTATAAAAGAATATTTTAAAATATAAAATATTTATAATGAATATGAATAGTGTAAGTACAATCTAAATAGTATAGCTAGTTGATTGTCAATTATTGTGTTCATATCTTAACACCCCCTTAAACTCAAGATGGTTGTGATGAAACTAACTTGAGTTTAGAAAAAAGAGTACAAAAGCATCAAGGAAAATGAGTCTTGTGAAAAGATTTGCTAGTTGATCAACAAAGCCAATGAAAACCAAATGAACAGTTTCTTGTGTAACATGATGACGAATAAAGTAACAATCAACCTCAATGTGTTTAGTGCGTTCATAGAAGACATCATTATGGGCAAACTACATGGCACTCTAATTATCAACAATAGAGATCAATAGCAAGTGGTTGAGGAACACCTATATCTTTAAGTAGTCAATGTAAATTAAGTAACTCTAATGCAGTGTCTTTAAGTGCTCAATACTCGACTTCTATGATTTACGATCATTGGGGTTTCTAACCCAATCAGTATCAAAGTAAGAACGATGTTTAAAAGGTGAATGAGCAAAAAAGTGAAGTTCATGAAAAATAATACATTTAATATAGCGAATAATATGAAGTGTTACTGCATAATGAATAGAACAAGGTGTAATCATAAATTGACTAACATAAATTACAAAAGTCATGTTTGATCGTGTTGTAATAAGATAAATTAAACTTTCAATCAAATGTTTTATAGTAAGATCAACTAATGGAGAATCATCCATAAGTGTAAATTGACCATTTGGTTCAAAAGAAATAGACATAATCTGGCTGTTAATAAATTCAACTTTAAATATAAGATCATAAGCATATTTTGTTTAGATAACCATTAGATGAAAAAGTGATCTCAAGTCCCAAGAAATTGAATGGTGTGAATATAATTTAAATAAAATAATTGATTGTTAATTATAGTGTTTATATCTTAACAATTATATACAAAAATGTATTGTTTAATTTAGATGGTAAAATTTTTCTTCTATTAAGTGTGTACTCTAGTAATTTCACCTATTGGAGTCCGGTAGGCTTGCACTTTTTTTATATACGAAAATCTGGACATCTAATTTAAGTAGAATCTATACCATTTTATTATAGAAATTAAACATTTTGACATTTTTAATGAATGTCTTAATTTTTAGATTAAACATTTTCACATTTTTTATGAATGTCTTAAATTTTCTTTTTTTTTTTTAACAGCAAAAGCTTTTATTTTTTTGATTTAATGTTAATTTAATTGTGCAGTCAAAGGTAATTACTATTTACCATAAAGATTTGACACCATACGTTGACTTTAAAATTTTAAATATTTACAGAAGTTATTAAAGGATGGAGTACAACTGTTAAACTGAATGTCAACCTTGAGTAAATTTTTCTTACTTAGTTTTGTTGCTTATGGTCTGCCCTTTTATCAATAGAAGATATATATACATTCCGCATAAGAATATCAATTCTGTTCATTTTTTCCTTCATAACATATATATATTTATTTATTTATATTTGTAATACTTTCTTTCATAATGTTCCTCCTTAGAATAGGCTGTGATCTCATGGTGATGTAATTTGCTTAGACTATTTGGGTCCATACATAATTAAGAAGCCTACCCCAACTAATTAATTGAAATGTCAATTGAGCTATAGCTACTTTTACAAGCTACCTTATAAATTCGTCCCTCTCTATTATATATCTACCACATAATTAAGTACTCCCATGACAAAGCCTTGTTAACAATAAACGTTTGGCTGTCACACATTTCATGAGTTTAATTATAGCTCGGATCGAGTTATTCTTTGGATGATCTTGTAGTTGTACCATTGACTAATTTTCTATTGGAACAACTCACATGTTCGCGTTGAGATAAATACAAATGGACAAAGTTAGATTAAAAAAGAAAAAAATCTCAAGAATTGAATCTATTGATAAGTAATTTTTGTTTTATAAATCAAATTTAAAGTTTAAATTTTGAAATCAATAATTAATATAACAGGTTAATATAAAAGGTATGTTTTTAAAATTCTTTAAGAAATTATTAGTCTCGATATGTATAAGAACTAATTAAAGACATATTAACCGTAATTATAAAAAATTAAGATAAAAAGATTTGACCATAACCATAAAGTTACCTATTTTAAGAGTTTTTGATATATTATTTATTTACGCTTTTCCTTAGTTGGCAATGGACAAGCTGACTTTGGTTAGTAACAACTCATTACATACGAGGGCTTGGGGAAGCTCATTTCTTGTAGTCCATATTTGAATTTTTATTTACTAAAAGAGCTGATAAATAGGTCTGTCTTTGTCTTTGTCTTTGTCTGTTTTTAATGTATTTTTCTTGTTTCCCTCTTTTGTATTTGTTTACTGGGATCGTTCAATCCTAAACAATTAATCCTTTTGCGTTTGTTTTCTTCTTCAATTCTAAGCAGATAAATCACTTCTAGTTCTAGCTAGGGCAGATAGGGACCAGTTCAAAATAAATGACCAAATTCGATAAGTAAAAAAGCGCCGTCATACGAATTTAACTTAATCAATAGTATTTTTCTTCAACAAGCATGCTATTAGGGGAATGTTACCACCTACTTCCGTCAATGAGTTTTTTTTTTTTTTTTTAATTGCCAAAGACAGGTCATTTGAGTATTAATAATAGCTATTAAGTTAAGAGATGAGACTAAAAGAGATTG